AAAAAAAAAAAAAAAGAGTGGCATTCATAGTGTAATTAGGCACGGAGAGGCTGCAAGTTCTAATAGGAAAGAAGTAGGAGCTTGAAAAAGAAATTTGATAAGACCCTATGGAGCAGCGGTTCTCAAACTGTGGCTAACGACTCGCGACCCCTTTGCGGGTCGCATGACCCTTTCTTAGGGGTTCCCTAAGACCAACTGAAAACACATGCTCTACAGTTATGAAGCAGCAACGAAAAATAATTTTGTGGCTGGGGGGGGGGGGGTCGCCACAATATGAGGAACTGTATTAAAGGGTCGCGGCAATATGAAGGTTGAGAACCACTGCAATAGAGGACGATTATAGTTTTACAACAAGTCTCTTGCGATGAAACGGGCCTCTTCTGGGAATGTTCTTTCTCTTTATGCAATACGTGAAATACACTTATTATTTTCTTTTTGTCAGGGAAACGATGTGATGTTAATAAAAAGGACGATTCGTTCATCTTGAAACAAATTATCTCTATTTCATTGATTGCAGTGTTTCGGTTTACGAACGTTTCGGGTACGAAACCGAGTGTCTGGAACGAATTAATTTCGTATCCCGAGGTACCACTGTATTTAATACCAGCGAAAACTATGTACTTTACCTTTTGATTTATATGTTGAGCTTCTATCGGGATATTATTTTCTACAAAGTAACCAGAGATACTGATCATATGAAAATTAGTCAAAAGTCATGTAATGGTGTTATAATGGTGTTTAATGGTGTTAAATTGTGGTGTAATAATGGTGTAAATTTTATAAGTTTAAAATTTAGGAACAACTATATCAAAACTATCAGACAACAAATCACGAGTGGGCCAACACACGTAGACACCTAAGCCAGCAAGGTCAACCAACAAATAATATTTGGGGCCAGCAGATATAGAGAACTAAGATAGTCACTAACAAGTCACAGGTGGGCCAACATATAGAGAGAACTAACCAAACATTTCTAATCCATAAATCTTATGCAGAGCAACAGACAACAACAGAGCGAACACTGTAAACAACAACAAAAAATAGGCATTACAAAAATCAAAGATACCCAAGCCAATTGTGTCAACCAACCATTCACGGGTGGGCACTGAGACATAGAGGACTAATCCTAACCCTCTCAACCAACAAAGTACAGGCGGGCCACAAGATGAAGACAGCTAATTCGACACTTTCATCAAACGAGTCATAGGAGTACCAGATGTATAAAAAGTAAAATAGATAGCACGGTCAACAAAGAAATGGTAGGCTAGCAAACAGTCATAGACAGCCAAGCCGACACCATAAATAAACAAATCAGTGGCAGGTAAAAAAAAACAACAACTTATTGACAGTTAAACACACAAAGTCAACAACACGTCATAGGTGGCCAAACAGAAATAGACAACTATATCAGAACTATCCAAAAACTAATCATAGTCATGTAAAAAGACATGGACAACTTTACCAACCAGATCAACATTACCACCAATGGCGAGATAATGTGCACATACTAGTAAACAAGATATTAAAGGAAAATTAACATAGATAAATTCACAGACATAAATAAATAAACAAACACAGAAAACTAAACAATAACGACTGAACAAACATATACATCTAGGCAAACATAGACATCTAAACAAGCATAGACAACTAAAACATTGACACCTGAACAAAGATGAGTAAACAATCAGTTACAAATAAACATAGACAACTCAACACACATGGATAAATTTTTAAAAAAAATATTGACATTAAACTGACACAAAGACACCTTATCAAACCTAGACAACTAAACAAACGAAATAAGTATAAAACATAGACAACTCAACAACAGACAGTTAAATATTTCTTAGGATTTCTATAAAAGGTCATAACAAGTAATCCTAGCATGTGCAGACACAGACGAGTTTGTGTAACGTATAACGTCACATGTCATCTGTGTCCTCGAGACGGTTCGACCGCGGGTTTGAGAACCTCTTGCTTAAAAAGTTCCACATAGTGAATACGATGATCACTTGGGCAAGTGCCACTTTGAGGACGAACACTCCGCCGTTCCATAATACAGACACGATCCAGTTGATGGAATAAGCCGCTCCCGACAAGAGTTCATTAATTGGATTGGACGTGTCCAGCATGACTGATGTGACGTAGGCGCTGATCAAAGCCACGAAGATTATATTGCCGAGACACATGGCATCGAAG